TATATTTGCATATGTACATGTCTTTATCTAGACCCCTATAAATGCCCTTTGCCTCCCAGCTCTTTCCTCTATTTCCCTTGATTTTCCTCCTGTTCAGCTATTATGCTCAGTCCCCACCAAGCCATACTTTCAGCAAGAGAGATTTGTTTGTTCTTCTGGGCATTAGGGTATATTCAATATTCTTTGCCAACCACACATTTCAAATACATAATTTTTCTTAGAATTGTTCAGCATTCACATACATACGAGGTGACTGAAAATAGTATGGGTTGGGCCAGGTGTCCTTCTTCCTGAAAATAACATCATTGCTCTGTAACACTTTAAAGAGGCCTTGTGAAGCAGATTTGTTCAAAGCAATTTGTCATTTGATTTCTTGACTACTGAATCCATGAGTGTTGATGCTGAATCCAAATAAAATCCAATCTTTTACAGCTTAAATTGTGTCTCTGTTTCTCATGATCTTGCCTGTTGTACCATTTATGAGGGTTTTCCTGTTCGTTAAAATGAGTGAGAGGCTATCCTAAAGTTTCATTGCTTAATGCTTTAAGTTTTATTCCCTTCCAGCTAGCCCAGTTGTGTCATCTGCATATCTCAATCTGTTAATTTCCAATTCTGATGCCAGTTCCTCTTCATATAGTACAGTTTTGATTTTTTCCTGGATTATTTGATCAGCATACACATTGATTAAGTATGATGACAGTATACAGACCTTACACATGCTTTTCTTGATTTTAAATCATTCTGCTTCAATGGCTGTCTATGTATAGGTTCTATATGAGCACAATGAAGTGTTCTGGAATCCTAACTCTTCTCCAGGCTAGCCAAAGCTTGTTATGGTGCACAGAGTCAATGCCTTTGCATAGTTCATTAAACCCGACACATCACAACAAACATTATAATACAAGATAGACTTTGAAATATACTTTTTGATGATGATAAAAGTTACTCCATTTCTCTTGAATTTATCACTCCAGGCATATCATTTTCTGATTCAAAATTGCCCAAACCAATCCATTTCCACTCACCAGTTGTGCTAGTCTGTAGATTAGAGAAACAAAATCGTAGACAGTCATATGGGTATAGGAAAGAGCTTTATATACAAGGAGACTGAATATTGAGAAAACATCCCAACCCAGTCCAGATCAAGTCCATAAGTCCAATATTAGCCCTTATGTATGTACCAATTTATAAAGCCCTCTTCAGACTCATGAAACACATGCAATGATGCCGAATGCGGGAAGATCACAGGTCAGTGGGTGGAAAGCCTTGTGGATCCATTTGTGTAAGCATCTCACTGCTGGCAGGCGTCTCCATGAGTTTTCTCCAGCTCAGGACACCAGTGTAATTCCATGTGTCTTGTCAGCTGCAATGTCTCCGAGGGAGTGAATTGAGAAAGAGTATGTCTCCTACCTCCAAGCAGGAAATACAGGAGTTCCCAGAATCCTCAGGAGAAGGCCATGCCCACAAAGAGGCCTCATTGACTATATCCTGATTTACAGACTAGACTCCACCCTACACTCTTAATTCTTAAATTGACACCAGATTATGTAAGTACCACACCAGTGTGTAGGATATCCATCTTTCTACATTCCATTTTATATCAATGCTATTTGAGAGTATTAGTGAATCCAATCAATCTGCCCCCACATTCTTTGGAAGTATTAATATGACAGTGACAATAAAGAGCCTCCTCCACTGCCAGGAATGTTACACTCTGAATTCTTTCTATGAATTAAGAACGAAATGAGGGAAATAATCCAAATACAATCAAAATATTGTAATGTGTTTGCACATTATGTACCATATTAAACATTTTTGGAATTCATGACAAAAATGTAAATAAAATATATCCTTTGAAGCATTGAAAGAGAAAATATTAATCTTTCTTAAGCATTGAAACTAAAAAAATACATAATATCCCCAAAATATTCCATTTTAAATAACACAGACACCCTTTCCTGAGAGACACCCTCATTTGTATTAAAATGTTTGTTTTAAGGTACATAGGAATAGATGGGAAGTTTCAGAATATAACTTATATAGTCCTTATTCAAATTCCATTTTACTTTCTTTTTCCTTTATAATTAGCATTTAGAATCTAGCCAAACCACATTTATACCTTCTGGAAATATCAAAAAAAATACAGAGATAGAGAAGTAGAATATTTCTCTTGTAACAGATTTGCAATAGCCATCAAGGAAGTACAGTACTACTGCAGACCGACAAGCTATTTAGTCTGATATTTTACCTTGTAGTGCATACAGCTAAATTTTAATTTCTTACACAGTATATTTAAAATATTTCAGATGAATCATTATGCTGTATGTTAGACTTGACCTCTCTGACTGGGTTAAAGAAAACCATATGATACTAATAGTGTTTTGGCATACTTATATCATAGAAGAAAATAAATTTTACTCACCTCTTCTGCATGGATACCACACAACTTGCTTCCTGACAAGAGTTTGTTTTTCAAACTTTTATTCTGAGGAAGGAAGCATAACCATATTACTGAAGAGTGATGAAATATTACAATTCCACAAAATAGATCAGCCTTTTTCCTGTATGCTCTGTTCAGAAAGTCTTTATTGAATACTTAGAGTACTATTCTTCTATTCTATAGCAAAAGCAAAACAAAAAGTAAAAGAATTCAAATATATTTTATAAAGACCCTTTTTCCTAAGTCTTGCAATTGTTTTGAGGTGTCATTGAGTTTATTCTGATTCACAGTGACACGATGTACAACAGAATTAAACACTGTTTAGTCCTGCACCTCCCTCAAAATTGTTATATCTGCACCCATGGCTACAGTCATGTGTTAATTCAGCTCCTTCATCATCTTCCACTTTTGTCTGGCCCTTTACTTTACCCCGGAGGCTGGCTCTCTCCAGGCTCTGGTGTCTACAGCATGTCCAAAGTGTGGGAGTTGAAGTCTTCTCATTCTCTCTTTAAAGGGTGTTGATTATAATTACTTCAAGACAAATTGTTTGATCGTCTGACATGCATTTTTCACTAACACTGTAACTCGAATATATCAATAATTCTGTGGCCTTCTTTATTAATATCCCAGCTTTCACATGCATATGAGACAATTGAAAATACCATAGATTGTGGTCAGGCACAACTTATTTCTCTAAATGGCATTCTTGTTCTTCAACACTTAAAAGAGGCCTTGTGCAGCAGGTCTGTGCATGGTCCTTTGATTTCTTGAACTGCTACCTCCATGAAAGCTGACTGTAGACACAAATAAAATGAAATCCTTGACAGTTTCCATCTTTCCCCAGGTATCATGATGTTATCTGCTGGTCACTTGCAATAAGGTTGGTGTTCTTTACATTGAATGGCTATTGATAGTGAAAGGTACAGTCTTGGATTTTCATTAGCAAGTGCACTTGAAGTCCTCCTTCAGCAAGTATGATTGTGTCAACATTTATCAAAAATGTTTTATAAATATTCCTCCTACCCTAACTCTATGTTCTTCCTCATATAGTCCTGGGTTTTAGATTATCTGCTAGGCATACAGATTATATTAATTATATTAATATGGTGAAAACTATAACCTGGAAACATACTTTTTCTGATTTTAAAACATTTAATATTCACTTGTTCTGTTCAAATTACTGCCATTGAGTCTTTGTACAATTTCCACTTGAGCATCATTAAGTGTTCTGGAATTTCTCTTTGTTTTGAAGTTATCTATGGTTTTCTGTTTTACCCAGTTTTTCTACTTAATATAGTTTGAAAAAGCATTCATTATAAAATGCAGTTAGCCCAAAGCAATTAGATCGTCTCTATTGCATGTTTATAACTCACTGAATGGCTCAAGAATAGACAGGATGGATTGTGGATGTCACCTAAAATAATCAGATAATGCTGAGAGTGTTCTTTTATTTACCTGTTAGTAATTAAAAGCTAGGCCCTGTTATCTAATCAGTCCATAAAGACAACCTTTATTGTTCCATTAGCTTGCTCATAGTCCACAGCTGGTTGCTGTGGTTACCTTGAAACTTGAGTTAAGGTGAAACAACAATACATAGCTCTCCAAAGTGTCCATTCTATAGCCACAGGCATATATCCTTTATGTGTTCTGATTTCAAGCAGGACACCACAAAGAAGAAAAAGACAGTTTTTTGCACTGCTGTGGTCTCCTTGCTGGCACACTTTCTACATAATGACTTTTCTTTCTTCCTCTCACTTGGAGTGTGTAATTGGCAGCACCCTTCAGGGTAAAATACTCCATTTCAGATGATATTATGATCCCCTGAGTCAAATGCCTTTGCATAGTCAATAAAACACAAGTACACATCTTCTTATAGTTTCTGCTTTCAGCCAAGATGCCTCTGATGTCAGCAATGATATCCCTCATTTCACATCCTCTTCTGAATCTGGCTTGAATTTCTGGCAGGCCTCTGGAATTATTAAAGCTATTTTTGAATTATTAAGTCTTAGGACAAAAATAAAGACAACTCATCTGATGGAGGAGACCATCTGCATCCTTCTGAGTCAAGAATTTATGGCCATATTTCCAAATATAGAAGATAGTAAAAGATACAGCCATCATGAAATCATACTCAGTGGCAGATCAAGTCTGGAGAGTTGCAGTCAAGAGAAAAGGACGATGATTGGGATAGGAACGCTGTTAATGATTAAAAAATTAATAGATTGGTTCTAGGCCTCTTCCACCTGACTGTGAGATTCTTTGATCCCTCAGTTCCCATTGAGGACCTAGTCAGAGAGAACCAACGCAGGTTACATTTCATTTCAGACTCCAAATGCATGAGCACCCACTAAATACAAAGACTTCCCCAAACCAAGTTCTTGCGACTTAAACTATATTATCCAAGAGATTGTTGTCATTTGGTGCCATCAAGTTGGTTCCAACCCACAGTAACCTGATGCACACAGAATGCGTGAATCCTTTGGGAAAACCACTGTGTCAGTCCATATTGCTGGGGGCTTCCTCTTTGACACTGCCCCTCTAATTTTCCAAGCACGATGTCTTTTTCTAGGGACTGATCTTTTCTACAACATGTCCAAATCAGCTAAGGCAAAGCCTTGCTATCCTGGCCTCTACGGAGTACTCCGGTCATACTTCTTCCAAGACAGATTGATTTGTTCTTTTGTTCTTGCAATGTTCTTTTCTAGCACCACGATTCAAAAGCATCAATTGTTCTTTAGTCTTCCTTATTCAATATCCAACTTCTCCATGCACATGAGGGGATTTAAAATACTATGGCTTAGGTCAGGTGCACCCTAGTCCTCAAAGTAAGAGCCTTGCTTTTCCACGCACTCTAAAGGGGCCTTGTGCCCTAGATTTACCAAGGGCAATCTGCTCTTGGACCTTTTGACTGCTGCTTCTATGAAGATTGATTGTGGATTCAAGCAAAATAAAATCCTTGAAAACCTCAGTCTTTTCTTCTTTAATCATTGTGTTATCAATTGGTGTGTGGATTTTAGTCCTCTTTACATAAAACACATTAGTGGCAGTAAATAATTGGGAATGGAAGATTCCTCTACTTTAAACTGAAGCACGTCAACCCAGATAAATTAGGGCAAAATCAATCTTCACTCTGTTCCATGAGCACATGCCCCTGGGTAAGCAACTGATAACCTCTCCAAAAGATGCTTCTCTCAGGAGCAAGCAGTTGACAGAGGCCCCTGAGAAGTTGTCCTTCAGAAATAGCTGCCCAGCATAAAATTGTAAGCATGCACAGAACAGATGAAATAGTCCCCCAACTGACCCAAGAATGCTGTAACTCATGTCAAGAAACAGACGCTGCCCATACTACATCATTTTGTCCTGTCCAAACCCATTTCAGAAGAGGTAACAATCTTGGTAAGAACTTGGTCAAGTCCTATCCCAGCTTCTTATAAATAAAACATACCTTCCTTCAAAATCTTAGGTGTGCAGCTTTACAACTTTCCTATGAAACTCCCTCCCAACCTCTGTTGAGAGAAGCAGTCTCTCTTCCTGGGGATCAATCCTCCTTGCTTCACCTTAGATGAAAGAAAAGAAATCTCCCCATAATGTAAGTACCATCTATGTGTATGCTTACCAAGGATAGCAAAAACCTTTAGACTCCATGGAAGGCCCTAGAAGGAGATCCTCCACTCAACAATATTAATTTCTAATTCATTACGTATGTGTATCTTATATATACCCTCTGCTTTATTATGTTTATAGGCTATTTTATAAAAGCATTTCAGTTTAAAATATTTAAATAGATGCTAATGCAAACTGCAAATATTCACGTTTACTATCATCTGAATGCTGTCATGTAGCCCCTGATATATGTCTTCCTTCCCTTTGAGCACCATGTGTGGAGAGGACTCTTACATTCTTGATACCTGGATATGTGACTCAAACGGCCTCTTGATTCTCAACAGTTATTTCTGCCATTAAGTCTTAGAAATGTGCTCTCTCTTTTGGCCTGAAGGTATCAGGTAGATCTGTTAACCTTTAAAACCAACTGTGGCAGTTCCATAATCTACTGTCAACTTGCATAAAGGGGTGTGGTCTAGCCTGTCAACCGGATTGTAGTCATTGAGGCTTCTGTGTGGGCATGGTCTTGGAATGTCTGTCTTCCTCCCTGGAGGTGGGACACACATTCCTGTGGACAAGCCACATGGAGCTATGCTGATGGAGTCAGAGCCCTGGAGCTAGAGGAGCCACATGGAGACCCATGCCAGAGCTGTGATGCTTCTACCACCACTGGATCCACAAGACTTTCCACCCACTGGCCTGTGATCTTCCTGCATTTGGCATCACTGCATGTGTTGCATGAGTCTGTAGAAGAATTTATAAACTGGTATTGGAAAAATAGGCTAATATCCAACTTATGGACTTGATCTAGACTGGTCTGGGATTTTTACTTAATATACAATTACTCTTTGACATAAATCTCTCTTTTATGCACATATGAGTGTCTCTGGATATGTTTCTCTAGTCCAATGGGACTAATACTCCAACCATAGTTAATCTCGTTTCCTCCCCAAACATTCAGCAATCTAAGGAAGGCATCAACTAGGTCCAAATTGAAGAAGCACATCAGCCTGTGTAATTCAAGGATTGTAAATAATATAATCCAAATATAAAGTAGGGAATGGTATGAGAGTTTAAATTGAGAATATCTGGTTTTCAGAAGGCTTGGGATAATAGTGGGAGCCCAAAATCCATTTGCAAGGTCCACACATGGATTAGATTCACTCTGAGCACAGTCGAGAGATATGAATAACCCTGTTCTCAGACAGAGAGCCTATAAAGTCAATTACAGCAGAAGTAGTTAGGGTAACATGTAATATATTATCATTTAATTTCCATTTTGATTCAACTTAAAGCTTTTTTGGGTTTTTTGTTTGTTTGTTTTGTTTTTAATTGAAGGGGAAATACAGATGAATTAAGCCTCTGGTGCATCCTCTCGGACCATGGACCAGGGATGGGAATACCCTTGCTAGCATGCTGCATGCATTGTAAAGTAGATTGTT